AAGTACGACAATAATTCACTAGAAGAAAGAAAATTAATTAAAATTACACAATTTCATGAAAATATTATATTTATATGCTAAATATAAAATATGTTAGAGAAAAATAACGATTATTTCTGGACAAAGTACATATGCATGTGTATAATCGGGCGGGTTCGGGTTGGATAGTGAGAAACCCATGCCCACCCATTACCCACAATATTCGGGTTCAAATTTTACCCGTACCCAATAAATGTCCTTCGGGTTCGGATTTTACACTACCTGATTAGGCCGGATTCGGGCGGATATCCATGATTACGGATATTTTTGCCATCCCTAAATTAAGTGGTAGGACCTAGTGGAGATCAAACACCTCACGAGCGCCTAGATGCACGGGGGCCTCCCGGCGATCTGATCATGACGAACCCGGATGGACACAATGGATAGGCGCCCAAGCGATTGGTCAAGCGTTTCGGAGTTCGACAGCCATTGGCACACAACATCTTGTTGGAGTCGGCGGGAACAACCATCCCACCTTTGCCAAGATACGATGGAGTCACCGAACCTGAGGATCATCTAAACAACTACTTCACGAAAATGCAACTTTACAATAGTTCAGATGCCACACTCTATAAGGTGTTCCCTTCCACCTTCGCAGTGGTTGTTCTAGACTGGTACCACCAAATTGAAGAGGGACGCATTGACTGCTCTGAACAGTTTGCTAAATTGTTCTTGTCCAAGTTTGCGAGCCGGAAACGTCGAACCTTAACTATAGCGCCTTGTTTAAGATAAAGAAAAGAGACGGAGAGGCGCTTAGAGATTTCTATGAACGTTGGGTTTCAGTCGCAATGGCGGTCAAGGATGCGCAACCCCCAGTTCTGGGGTGTTGCCTTGAAGAATGCACGTCAAGTGATGAGCTATGTCGGGCGCTCTCAAAGAGGGATGTGGTCTCAACGGAAGACTTGGATAATAGGGTTCAAGAAGTGAATCATGTTGGAAGAAGCTCTGGCAGCAAGGAGGGGGGAAAAGAGGCGCCTAAGGGGAGAGGAGATCGACGTTCGACAGGCGCCACGAATCATGAGAGGGGGAAATGCCCCTTCGAGGAGGACGGAGGCAAAACGCCCACCGCAAAGAAGCATAGGGAATTTTACGGAATATAATGATACACTGAAGAATGTCCTGCAAAATGTGAAGGAAAGAGGGTACCATGTGCGGTGGCCTGGACGGATGTGAGGACAGCCCAACGAGCGTAATCTTGATCGATATTGTGATTTTCAACGGAGAAAGGGCATCACACGGCCGATTGCTATCAACTAAAAATAGAGCTACAGAATTTTCCAGACAGAGAGATGCTCAATGAGTTCGTAAAAAAAGCGGAGGAGAGAAATCACCTCACCTTTATGGCAAGGGAGAAGAAGCAGGCGTCGTTGAACGCGGACAAGCGGTTGGGCGCTGAGATGCCGCCCCCTCCATTTGAGGTGACCCAGGAAGAAAAACCGGACCGTGTTAGGCTTACGGTGGAGTCGATCACTGGCATGGTCGACCTTCGAGAGCAACTGGAGAGAAGTAGGCGCCTCAGAGCTGAGTCCTTGGAGGCAAAGGCAGTGGTGCAAATACACTCCAATCGAGAATCGGAAGAGGCATGCCAAGTCCCATCGGTAGAAGCCCTATAAATACAAGGTGTGATCGCGGTGTGTAAGGTGAAAAGGATGTTGTTGGACACTGGTAGTTCTATGGATGTTATGTTCAAAAGTAAATTTGAGCGCATGCAGCTGGCGCCCGAATTGGTGTACCCCTCATGTTCGGTGCTGATAGGATTCTCGGTGGCGCCTATGCAAGTAATTGGAAGGGTTCGCCTCCAGGTCACGTTGGGTGGCGAAGTGCACCGTGTGACGCACGCGGTAGAATTTGGAATAGTGGGCAGACCCCTATTGGCGTTATTCAATGGAGTGGCGTCCACTTGCCACCAAACACTAAAGTTCATCGCACCCCAAGGGATTGGCATCTCGAGGGGAGAAAGCATTCCACGGTATGCACTTGAAGATGAAGCAAAGGGCACCACCCGAAGACACAAAGTGAACAATGTTGATGTCTGGCCCGATGAGGCACCTAGAGTCGAGGAAATGGACGAAGAGCTGGCCATAGCAATTGATGAGGAGCGTCGGGACCGACAAGTTCGCATTTTGGCTTAAGCGCCCGAAGAATTGAGGTCGCCTTTGATAGCGTTGCTTCGAGAGTTTTGTGAATTGTTTGCATGGGGTGCATAAGAGATGCCAGGGGTGTCCCCGAAAACGGAAGCACATAGGTTGGTCGCGGAGGAGGTAAGAGGCCGGTCCAACAGAAGCGGCGAAACTTGATGCCTGAATTGGAGGAAACGTTCAGGAGTGAGGTCGATAGGATGCTCGAGTTGGGATTCATTGAAGAAGCTAGGTACACCACATGGCTTTCGAATGTCGTGTTTGTCCCAAAACCGTCCAAAGAGTGGAGAATGTGTGTGGACTTCACCAACCTGAATCGGGCTTGCCCCACAGATGCATATCATATGCCAGGAATTGACTTGCTCGTGGACGCAACGACTTATCATGAGGCGCTTAGCTTCCTCAATATGTTTTTGGGGTACCATCAGATTCCCATGGTGGAGGAGGACAGGGCGAAGATCGCTTTCATGACACCCTATGGAACTACTGTTACAAAGTAATGACGTTCGGATTGAAGAATGCGGGAGCCACTTATCAGCTCATGGTTAACCAAGTGTTCCGCAAGCAATTGGGAAGAAATGTGAAGGCATACATGGACGACTTGATTGTGAAGAGTATAAGGCTTGAAGATCACATAATGGATTTGCGAGAAACCTTTGAGACTATGCGCCACTTCAGGTTGCGGCTTAACCATAAAAAGTGCGCATTTTTGGCAGAGGCGGGCAAGTTCTTGGGATTCATGATAACGAGAGGGATAGAATCCAACCCAAGGCGAGTCGAGGCCGTCATGAGCTTGGCACCCCCGTGAACGCCAAAGGAGGTATAAGGGCTGACAGGGAGACTAGCGGCGTTGGGCGCTTCATCCCCAGAGCAGCCGACAAGGGTGCCCCTTTTTCAAGATTTTGAAGAAGGCCACCCGATTTAAATGGACAGAGGATTGTAACAAGGCCTTCGAAGATTTGACGACCCTACTCACGTTGCCTACGATGATGACGACACCCAAAGCCAAAGAGACGTTATATTTATACATCGTCGTGTCCCACATTTCCATTAGCGCAGTCCTCGTGTCTAAGGACCCGCTAACAAACGAAGAGAGGCTGGTGTACTACGTTAGTTGCACCATGGTGGGTCATGAAACACGATATGCTCCAATAGTATAGGCGGAAATTTTAGGCTCCTACTGTACGTTCAGGCTCATAGCATCGTGGTGCTCACTAACCTTCCTCTCAGAACTGTCTTGGGATCCATGGATGTGTCCGGGAGCCTAGTGAAATGGGTTGTCCAACTTAGTGAATACGATGTCAGCTATGCGCCCCGGTCGACAATAAAGGCCCAGGTATTGGTAGATTTCGTGGCTTAATGGGTTGTAGACGTGAGGGTGGATGTCGAGGAGTGTTGGCAAGTTCAAGTGGACGGATCAGCAAGCCGAGCAGGCGATGGTGCAGGAATCGTGCTCATCACCCCGCTGGGGGCCATGCATGAAGTTGCATTACATTTTGCGACTCTCAAAACTAACAACGTTGCGGAATATGAGGTCATCCTCGAGGGACTGCATATGGCGAAGGAATTAAGCGCCCAGAAGGTTCATGTGAAGTCTGATACGGCCCAGGCGGTAAATCAACTGAATGAAGTTTACGAGGTAAAGGAGGAGGCGCTAGGATCCTATTCCACTCAGTTCAGAAGAAGCGTGCTTGGTTTCGAGAGGCGACCTTCACTCACGTTCCGAGAGAGGACAACGCTCATGCTGGCGCTTTGTCCAAGTTGGCCACAACATTGAATTTTGGGGAGGATAGAACGGTCATTGTCACTAAGGAAGTTCCGCAAGAGGAGTTGGTGATGGCATCCCTTTCCGCGGGAGTAATTGAAGGGTGGACGGCGCATATCATGTTGTTCCTTATTCAAGGCATAGTATCGGAAGACCCGAAGGAGGCTTGGCGGTTGAGGCGCAAGGCTGTCCGGTGCACCATAGTGGACGGAACATTGTACAAGAGGTCTCATTCAGGCGACTACTTGAGGTGCCTCACGGATGCTGAAGGGTATAAATAGTGTTCGGTAGGTAGCACTTAAACATGTTCAATTCTCTCACTAAAAACTCTCTCAGCACTTATCTCTCTAGAAACTCGACTGACATGAGCTTCGGAGTGCTAACGGGCCACTTAGGCACTGTGTGCGCCCAAATTTGCAAGGTGTAGGCGCCTCGGCTGGGAGCTTGGTGAAGATCGAGGTTAAGCTGACGGGTTCAGAGTACCGCAACTCAAACAGAAACCAAACGGCCCCTTAATCACCGATCATTTTGTTTATCATGAATCACACGTTTACGATATTATATCACGTGTATCACTATTTTTTTTTTATTTAGTTAGGCCTCATTTCATTTTGTGTCACTAACCATTAACTTCCATTACACTCCATTAATACCATCAATTTTTTGATAATATTGCATATATGGAAAATTAGCTATCCAATTGCTGAATCACTCAAATTTAACATGAATCAAAGTAAAAAATTCAACCTTTGCCCTCTTATAAAGTGCACAATATACGTACATACATTCACTGCATAGCAGACTATATATAGTTATATATATTCATAAGCCTAGGACCTGAGTATACAGAATACACACCACAGCAAAAGAAAAGATTACACCAGACATTCTGAAAGGCCAGGAGAAGATTGGAGGACGGAAGCAGCAGGGTAGGTTAGATAATAGGTTAGACCGACCACTATATCCTACTAGTACCAGACTCTTTTCCAAATACAGAAGGAATAACAATCCTTGTGGCACATACACAGGGAAACAACTGACAACTTTGTGCTCTTCATTTACTCGTGCCAACCATAATCTCCCCTGCCTTCTCTTGAGCTCCTTACCCTCCTATAGTCAATTTCTGCATCCGAGCTCGACAGCCCCACATGGTATTTTCTGCTGGCTTTGGAGGAAGGCGTCTTAGAGAACATACCCTCGTTGTCAGATAGGGTGTACCTGGGAGGTGTACTTGAACCGGAGATGTTTCCTGACTGCCTTCCTGATATAGGATTCGAGAAGCAAAACTTAGACACATGTGGAGTTTGTTGGGCGAACTACTTTGATTAAATATAAGACAAACCAAATCCATGACTTCATGTGTTCAAGAGAAGACAGACTTGAGTGAAAAAACGACACTGCCAAGGAAGGATAACCAGGTGTTCATGCAAAGCCCCTATGAGGCTCAAAAAAATATCATCCTACGCTTCATCTACTTCGCTACTTGCCTCACCTTTCTGTGCCATACCAAATGCTACCAGCAATTCAAGGACTTAAAACATGATGATAGCCATCCTACAAGTATAGACGACAACATTGGAAAAAGGAAAACCGGAACAGGTCGAGGCATAGTTTGAGTTCACCTTTGTATCTATCAGAAGAGGCAAGAGCTTCACAGCCTTCCCCAGTAATTACATCGGATTTCGACTTCAAGCTCTGTTGTCTTGGCAGCTTCCTCTGCGTGCCCAATAACTTTTGGGTCTCACTCTCGTTCGCATTTTCTAGGACATCTCCCACGTTACTTTTGCTTGAAGTGAATGGGTTCATGGTGAAAGAGTCGTCCATGACATCGGATATCTCCACATATTGAGTAGTAGTGATGATCTCATCGGCACTGAACCCAAAGGATGCTCTGTAAGCTTCTACTTCTTCAACATCTTGCTTGGGACTCTTATTATTCCTATTGTGCATATGCCCATTCGCACCAGTAGGATAGACATCTGAATCTTTAGAAACACTCAACCTCCCAGCAGTATGAGGAAATGGTGGATTATGGTCTAGGTAGAATCTTGCAAATGTATCAGGACAAAAGAAGTTGGAATCATGAGATACCAAGGAGGGAGAGGAACCATCGTGCCCGGAAAGCCTGCCAGAATCATTCCTCGAACAATCACCATTTTTGGGTGAAACAGAAGGATCCCACTGGGGAGGAAACTCCCGTTCGGGGAAAGACGATGACAAACAATCACGTGAGGTCTTTGATTTAGGTGACAGAAGACTGCTGGCAGGGCTTCCAGGATAGAGTGCATAAGCCGCTTGCAGATCATTTGCAGCAAGATGATAACTGCCCTTTCCAGAGCTTCTGAAATTTGCAGAGGATGTGAGAAATTGGGCAAATGGCACATCTGGGGAAGAAGGTGTGGTTAAGTGAGCCAACTCAGGAGGAGGAGTTAGAGGAGCAGTTGACGGCTCAGTTGTGAAGGTGGAGAAAACCGGAGGGGAAACCAATTGTGTTTCATGAGCATAAGGCCCAGTGGCATACATTGTCGAGGAAGGGCCGCCAGGTGAGTTGGCAGATAAGGAGAGAAAGTTACTTGGAGACTGAGCAGTAGAAGGGATACCAGAATTTGAAAATGAAGCTGGTGAAGAAGGTGGAGCTAGAAGGGAAGGAGCTATTGTGGTAGCTTGATTGGTCATCCCAGCTGCTTGATGAGGCCCATTAGGCTGAGTAACGGAAGCATTGCCATCAGGAATTCGTGATGCAGGGACAATTCTTTTCCCACCTTTCTGAGCACCAAAACAAGACAAGGATCCCAAGCATCCTCCCCATCTCTTTCGCTGCAAAATAAAAGCAAAACTATAAATAATAGAATATAGCTAACTCTCAAAAGATCATAGTCCAGAATTTGCATGGCCCATGCCCCATGATTTGAGTTATTAAATCATTGGCACAACCAACAAAGAGACTAGACTTACTGCCCAGAATCCAGATAGTGAGGCATAACCAACCGTTCCAATGGAGATGCAAAGGTTAAACATGGAAACAAAGACCACGTTCCTTGAGGAATATGCAAACTTAGAGACACTTTAGTCTACTTGTAAAACGTGGAAAGCTGCCCATGCATGCTGGGATGCATGCTTATGTGCAGTGGGAGAGAGAGAGAGAGAGAGAGATCAACCATTGCACCAGCATGTTGTACAGCTCAAACGCTTAGCCAAAGGAAATACAAGAAATATATTCAACTTACATATGTTTCCTTAGAGTAGCATTCTTCTATTCAGATTGTGAAACCAGTGTACAGATTCAAGAAAAGATCTTTCACAACAAACCTGAATTTTTCACTGGCTATCTATCAAAAGTTTGGGTTGTAACTTCTAAGACAAAGCAAAACCATCTTCAGCAAAGCATAGACCGCAGAATGCAATAACGCCATATCTTATGTGGTTGATTGCAGTTTTTTAGCAGTTAGCGCAAGTATGTGTTACCAAAAATGGGACTGTCGTGAAGGTTGCACCGAGACTGGAACAGATAGTTATACTGCTAGTCTAGGAGGCCGCACATTGTGTGAAAAGAAATCAACCCAACAACAGCATCATTGGGCGACGATCGCTGTAGTAACAGGATCGATTGTGCTACCCTATAATAGAGGTGGTAGTTGACAGGCTTTGATTTCATTGGAGTACATAATATATTATGGCAACCGAGAAATCATCACCCCCAAGTTTCCAATTAGTTCAACTCGAGAAATGGGTGGGACAAGAGTTGTGTGAGAAAATTCCAGCTACACCATAGTTGTAGTTGGGAAGCAAGCCAGTAGGCACCTAGTCTAGCTTCTGCTGAAGATGCAACAGCCAGGTTGATAGGTTGCATCAAGCATGAGTACAAACATCCATATCAGTCCAAGGTGGTCAAAACAAAATTGTGACACAACCCATGTAATCTTTTCGTCTCTCTATTGTTGCAGTTTTATTCTTGTTCCTAGCACATTGGGAACGCGTTGGGTTTTTTCTAAGGGGAAGGGAATGTGTCTGTTTGCTAGAAACAAACGAGGGGAAAACAAAACAGAATTAAGAAACGGTGACTTGAAAAGAAAACGGGAGCGTTTGCTTCTCCCGAAAGATGGAGGTTGGAAATGGGGAGATGATGAGAGGGGTTGGTTTGGCCAAAACCACAATTTGCTAAATTCCATCTGACTGAGCGAATCAAACATCATCACAAAGCCGCAGCACGACGGAGGCGGTGAAACGGTGTAAACAGTGAACAGAACACCACCTAACGAAACAATGCAGGGGGAGCAGATTCTTCACATCCACATTACAGTAAACAGGATAGGACCTATAGATCTGAGGCTTAAAATTAAATTCCCAAACCACACTGCAACAAGAAAGGGGTTTCAAGCGAAATCAAGTACCAAGCCCAGATCCAGATCTGACGAGCAGAACAGCTCAAAGAAAGCTAGATAGGAAACGACGAGTGAGGGAGGGGGAGAGAGGACATACCCGTTCTTGCTGAGGGAATCTATTCTGCTCCGAACCCATAATAGTGTACCCAAGTCGCAATTCCAAGTTGCCGCCAAGTGAGTAGTAACTTCGTTTTCTTCTGGGTGAGTGTTACCGTCAAGAGGAAGAGCTTCTTGCACTGCACTACTTCGTGGAGGCGGCGGCTGCTGCTCCTTCGAGCGCTTTATCTGATTGGTGAAAAAGCCGAGTGAGTGAATAGGAGGAGAAGGAGTAGAAGCTGTCTTGCCGCCGCAAACCGCCCTCGGAGTGCCTTTTACGCCCTCCAACCTTCAATCGGTTGCTTTATATGTTTTTTGCTCGTTCTTTCTTTTCTTCTCCCAGTCGGAGCTTCGTTTACCGATCCAAAATGAGACTCAGATCATTGGACACTGAAAGCATATCGGAGAAGAAGGAGAAATCGGATGAGGAGAGGATTCGAATTTCATCATCAGGGAGAAGAGAACGGCCTCAAGCGCTAGCTTCCCTTTCTTCTTTCCTTGCTTCCCCGACCTTCCCCTGCACTAGCTGACACTATTGCGTAGTAAATTTATCAACTTCTTACACTTATGCGGCAATACTAACAAAAAGCATAAAACGATGGTTACTTATTTATTTGCTTGCTTCGCGACAAGGACAACCAAGGAATTATAAGATATTATTTTTGACTTCTCTATCAACAAATTATTATAGTGGTACGAGGATTTTTTATTGAGAGCTACCGCGACAATATTAATAATTTATTTAAACATAAATTGTGATTATAGTGATTTACTTGTCAAGTGTAGGTACAATATCCAAAATTTTAGAGTCATTTTCCTGTATTTTTATATTATTTATTGTATTAATATTTACAAGTTCTTTCTGGATTTTTTTCATCAATGGGCCGGAATTTATAGGGTCAATTCCCTAAATATTATTTTTTATTTATTTACCATCAATATAGAGGTTTTAAAAGTATTGACATAAATATTGTGTTTTGTACAGAAAAAACAGTTAGTCCGCCCAAGACTCAGGAGAAACCGCTTTTTAGGCTTTACTGAGCGGACCCGCTCGAAATTGGGGCGTTGGCGCTGTTTTCTGTATTTCGTCAGTGGATATAATACATGCCCAGCGGGTCCGCTCGAGAGTGAGGCGGGTTTGGTGGCGAATATGACTAGCGGGGCCGCCCAAGTCTGGGCGCATTCGCTGCCTTCCCAAAACACTCCAACACTATAAAAACCCAAGTTTCCTTTCTTCAAGTTGCTCACCACAAAAAGAAACAGATATTGCGAAGCTAAACGAGAGGAGCTATGTTGGTTGCTGCAAAAGATGGCTAATAGGTAAAATACACATTTATTTTTTATATTAAATTCTTAAAATAATATTATTATTTTGTTTCGGTAATTAGTGAATTTGTTTTTTATGTAGTGATTTTAGAAGATTTGAAGTAGTCGTTCGGTGGAAATCAGAGAAAGTAGAGGACAATTTGGGCATCCATTTCGTTGGTGGTAGAAGTTTTCAGTTGACAGTTCCATCCAGGGTGACGTATCACCAATTTTGTGAGAATCTAATTCCGAGGATACAGCGTAAAGACGAAGCATCACAAGATAGTGGTACAATCACAGGTTTCACTTACTGTCTTCCAGAATGACGGAATGGTGTTATGTTTCATTATGCGATGCCTATTGTGGATGATGATAGCTTGAATGTGCTTTTCGATTTTATGGCACAAAATCCTTATTGTTTGGGTGCTAAGGTACATGCTGAGATTAGTGAGAATCAGGGTGGATAGAAAGAAGATGAGACATGGAGTGTGCCATTTGATCATGACTATGATGACGGAGAGGAGGAAGATGAGGAGGAAGAGGAGGATGATGATGATGGGGAAGAAGATCAACCTAATTATCCCCCATATTCTGACCTGCAGGGTAATGAAGAGGACGGCGAATTATCATATGCTGATTCATATGGCGTAATTCCAATGCATATTGTTGTTGGTTTTAAAGGAAAATTCTACAAGGGGCAGATATTTCACTCGAAACAAGTTGCACAAGTGGCGATTAAATACCACGCACTACAACGCAACTTTCAGTATGTCATGGTTGGGTCGTCACCTTCAATCTGGAAGGTCATATGCTTGAAGCACAAGGATGAAAATTGTGTTTGGATGGTGCGGTTTGGATGTCGAGATGTTGGAAGCGAATGGTCTGTGAGAAAGGCCGAGTTGGTGCATTCTTGTAGCATTACGACTCAACTGACGGATCATCATCTTGATGTCGACGTTATATCTGAGTCCATGAAGCATTTGGTACGTGCCCAACCAAATCTGAGTTTTCTAACTGTGGATGCTGAGTTGAAAGATAAGTTTAATATGCAAGTTACTTATAAGAAGGCTTGATATGGGAAACAAAGAGCATTGGAGAAGTTGCATGGAAATTGGAAAGAATCCTACGATTATTTGCAAACATTCTTGCGGGTGGTAAAGAGAAAAATGCCAACATCAGTGATTGATTGGGTAAGAGTTCCTTTATCGCAACCAAGTCATTTGATCTTTCAGTGAGTATTCTGGTCTTATGGACCTTGTACAGATGGATTCAAGAATTGTCCAGGAGTCATGGTTGTTGATGGAACATTTCTTACTGGAAAGTATAAAGGAGTGCTACTCATGGCGAGCTCATTTGGTGGTCGGAAGAATATTTTTCCAATTGCATTTGCCCTAGTGGATAGCGAGAATACTGAAAGTTGGTCATGGTTAATAAGACAAGTTCAAGGTTTGACTAATCGAAATGATGTCTGCATCATCTCAGGTAGACATGCAGGACTCTATGAAGCCATGAGTGACATCGGAAGAGGTTGGGACTTGGGAGTGGAGGTGGTGCATGCGAAACTATGCAAGCAACTTGCAAAGGAAGACTAAAAACAAGATTATGTATAATCAACTTTTTCGAGTCGGTAAGCCTTCATTGTTATGGTTATTTATGATTATGTATAATTTATTTTCATTTAATTTTTGTAATGGACATATATCTAACTCGACTAGTTATTTATTGTGTTAGCCGGAGAAAAACGATTGGAGAAGTTCGATCGTCAAGTTGAGAATTTTAAGAAGATAGTCGCTGATAAAAATATTTCTCGTGATAACTAGGTGGACCAACATCAACTTCGTTGGAGCTTAGCACATGGTAACTATAATGGTGGGCGTCAATGGCGTTTTCAAAGGTATTCGTTCACTTCCTATAGCTTCTCTTGTGCAGCATACTTATTGGCGATTATTGGAGAAATTTGATAAGATGAGGTTGGAGACAGAAGCACAAATCAAAAGTGGACATTCACATTACACCAAACCATGCTCATCTGGTGCACCGCCTCCAACTCCATGCGCCCGCATCTGCTAGTCATAAGACCACATTGATTGATGGAAAGTAGAATCCCCCTCTAGCGTGTTTCTCCATCCCATCGGGGAGGCGGCTCTAGTATCACTACTTGAGGCCATATATCCGCCTCCCATCATAGCATGTTGCGGCGGTGTATGGAAGCTATCGTCTAGTGGCTAAAATCTCTAAGAAGTATCTGGCTGAAACTGCGGCTGAGGAGGATGATGAAAGGCTGAATGAGGCCCTGGCTGAAATCCCAATGAAGTGTTTTCCTGAAATTTCGAAGAAGTGTTGGCTGAAACTGCGGCATGAACTAGAAGGTCGTAGTAGGCTGAACGGGTTGTGCTTACTGTCGATCTAAAATCCTATCTGGGTTAGGTACGTCGCGATGTTCACGTCGTTGTCTACGCCTCCTATGCTCCTGTCTGAATTATAGCTCTAGGATGGCCCAGTCCGGTGTCGGATCCGTACCCTCAGGTCATCTGGCCATGTTGTGCTCATCAAGATACCGTTGTATAGGTACTATAACATAAGGATGTCGGCGCCCATCCAAACCTAAAGCATCAACCCCTGATGCCATCATGTTAGCCAACTCCATCATTTGGTCGGTGGACATCCCTCTGGCCCGTACTCCATCACGTAAACTCAACTCAGCGTACTCCATAGTGTCGTACTGAAATTAAATTTAAAATGTAAGAGATTCCACACAGTTACGAATTTCAAAACAAATCAAACAAAAATATGAAACAATCAATAACTAACCACTACCTCCACTGCAGCTCCTCTCCGTGTGCCTGAACGTCTGGTAATATGTCGATACCACTCCATATGCTCCGAGTGGTAGGCTAAAGCCTCCTCACTGTATGGCATCCTCGCTATGAACTCATGTCGACGGTTCCAAAAAGCAAGTGACTCCCTGGAGGCGTGTACCAACTGCTGCCCACGCGATGGCCCACGATGAGTCTGGCGAAGGAAAACCTAACCTCAGCCTCACTATGTGGCGGATGAGGCTCATCCTGCCTCATGCCAAACTGCCAGAGCTCGCGATCTGGATAGTGCCACATCACTGCTGAAATGTTATATACTAACCACCATGGTCCCCATCTTGTCAAACCACAACTTGTACTGGAACAACTGGTCACCGTACTGACGAGTGTTGGCCAAAAGCCATCAAACACCACATGGGAATGCATCCTCGGCAATCTGCATCCTCGTCTCTGTATGTTGCGATGCCAGATGTGAAAATCGCTCCCACGCCCAGAGCTACAGTAAGGGGACCTATCCACCAAGGTCACCTCCTAGGGAAGAGGAATGTGTAATGTGCAAAACCGACCTGCCCATCTAATGGTACAGGTAGGCTTAAACAGCTGCTCTCCAGGCGAACCGTCCAGCTCTCTGCCAATTCTCCACCAAATTTAGGTACTGTAGATGCACCGCAGCTCCAGACCGATACGGGAACAATACACTTCCCATCAGAGATAGAGCATAAGCTCGTGCAAACTGCTTTGTAGTCTCCCGTGATGCATTTGTCGGCAGATGATTGAATTCATCCCTCAGCCAACCAATCCTAACGACACCGCCGGAAAGATCATCAGGAACCCGTCCTAACAGTCTCACACAGATCTCTGACCACTCCTCATAAGGTATGTCTACTACAATGGCATCACCGTCGATCGCTAGGCCGGCCAGTGTCACAACGTCCTCTAAAGTGATCATGGTCTCACCAAACGGAAAGTGGAAGGTCGACGTCTCGGGTCGCCCACGCTCTACGAGCGTAGTAATCAAACTTGCATCAACATTCATATGGACCAGGGGCAGAACACTAGACAAGCCCGCCTCTCCGAGATACGTCAGATAATGTTCATGATACGTGACTAAATTGGTGGTACCTCGAACATGGTAAGATCGATCACCAGCCTATAGTGAACAAAGCTTATATTGATTCAATTTCATGCGTAATTCTAATTTTACCTAGTAAAATCTATCAATCTAAAAATCTATCTAATCTAAAACTTATACTAATTTCAAAAAAAAATTCATACGTAATTCTATTCTAAGTTCAGTTCACCTAGTAAAAATCTATAATGGTCTAATCTAACTGGCTAATAAACTTTAAAGAAGTAGTTGTTATGAAACACTTACCTCGTTTGCCCAAACTAAGTCGACACGATGTTTACCATGTCCCCAAAGAAGTACCGAATCGACCGGAGCTGGATCAATTGTCGCAGGCGGTGATCTCATGGAATAACTGTTCATAAGCCTAAGAGCTGAAAAAACAAAAAAAAAATACATAAAAACTCAATTAAAAAATATTGTCGCCGGCGAGATCCTCACCACGATACTGGCTGCCGCCACAACCTCGCCGCTCTCTCCCCCTTCCTCTATCGGCGACTGTTTCGTCATCGTCGAACATCTTCTCTCCAAATAAAAAAAAATAGGGGTGCGAGTGTGAGCGAAGAAGAAAGGGGATGATGGGCTTGCTTGGGACTCAGGCGCGGCCGCCTCTGTCTCCGGCGTGTCTGCTTGAGGAGGTGGCGAGACAGCCTTTCTGTCCGGCGTGGGCGCTGGAGATCGGGCAAGAAGAGCGAGGAGTGGTGGGTGGTTGTTGGTTTGCTGAAGAGGAAGAAGAAGATAAGATATGGGGCGTCGGACGAGGGAAGTAAAAAGGAGGGGGATGGCAGGGCCGCTAGAGTCTCAGGCGCCACCGCCTGTTACTCGGGTAAAAATTTCAAAAGCGGCCCCTCCTGAGTGTCGGGCGGACACGCGCTTTAACCTACACAAATACACAATACCCGTGTTAATACTTTTAAAAACCGCCATATTGGTGGTAAATTTTTTTAAAAAATAATATTTGTATCAATTACCCGAATTTATATATGAATTTTTTCGTTTATACTTTATATCTATCGTCACTGTTATGCATTTCAGTCGTTTTCTTTTAGACCATCTGTTGTGCATTTCCATCAAAATTTGCATCTTTTCTTCATGTTTCCTTTGTGTTTTTCTCTCTTCCTCGACCGCGGTCCGACGAGATTCAACATTAGATACAATTCTCTCATTGAAATTCGACGATTTTAACCTTTTCAAGTAGCAATTGCGGTTATTTATTTATTTATTATCTCGTAGCCCTTTGACATAGGTCGAACCATTTTACATGCTGGGATTGACCAATCGCTCTTCTTGGTCTTGAAGATGCCATTGCTATGTTTGGTTTTCAGCATTGCCGACCCCCTCCACTATTTGCTAGAGCTTTACGGCCACTTCCGTGCCGAATGGACTATACAATTGTAGTAACTTACACATTGTTCTCCAAAGATAAATAAGACAATCGCCAGCAAGATGCAAAAGAGAAAGAAAAAGGACAAGACAAGATAAGCAAAAGAAAAAAAGAGCTTTAATAGCAATTTCCGCCCACTAGGTACCCTCTTTTCATTATTTTACAGGCTCTTTTGCTGGAGCATATTCGAGTGAGGAGCAACTCCTGAATTAAACAAACCATTTAACCATTACAATTACAATGTGAAGGTAGCAAGAGCTCGACAGTACCACTGCCTCAATGAAACGAACCATAGAGCAATGCATACAGATTATCATGGCTGGAAACTCTTCCCATATTGAAAGCTACAAGGATCTCTCAAGTGGTTACACATTTTGGCCCCTATTTCGATCTAATCTGATTTACCATGATGCGAACGCAAGTCCAAGAGAGGAGTTTGTAAGGGTTCTTACATGCTTCATACGATCGCACCAATCGACTAGGCAACATGGAGCAGTGACTCTTCAAACAGAAGACAGAAGACAAGCATCCCTCCTCCTTTATCCGGGCTTGGGACCGGCTGTGCAAGGCATAAGCATTGAAACCTAATACACAGGCGGAGTTATATCTGGCACAACGTCAATAGAAATTCGCAGCAGCATCCATTAGACTGTCATCGGTCCCAACTCCAACACCCACCTGGTCCCAAATCCGAGGATCTGTGTGTAGAGAGCATCATGTCATGTCATGTCATGACATGCAAACCAATAGCTAAGAGCTAGCAAGAAGCTGCGACGAAGAGCTACTTTGCCAAAAATTAGGAAGCCACTTATTAGCTTGGTTTTCTTCTTTTCCGTGGTTAAAGACTGTTGGCTTTCACAGTTTGAACCAATGTAGACTTTGTGCTTTCATCCACCTTTTATTATTAAACCAAGCCTGGAATCCAACCCCAATTAGGATATGGAGAACCCACATAATCTGTTAACAGGGTGAAGGAAATGGACGAAGTCCAATTTCAACCCCGGCATTCTCTTGAACTATAATTGCCGGAGAGATATGGCCATGTGCCTTGATGGCACTCCTTCACGTTCATGAATTGGCATTCTTGCATACCAATGGGTTTGAGAACCCCCTGTAATGCGGCATCCGTCCCGGCTTCCACCTGATGCCAACCTGCAACAACATAGGCAGATCGGACAGAAGGGAGAGAAGCAGTTAAAGATAAATGCACGGAGCCTGAACTAAGAAATGCACTAATTTTGCGCCTAATAAGAAAATCCTACTCCTCTCGTTAATTACTCACCCCCGCCACCCAGATCCACACAGACCTATCAATTTTAATCTACAGCAAGAGGCTAGTACCAGTTCGCTCACAGGTTCCTACCAAGGTCAGGAACCAGATCCCTGAATTAACCAATGCCAATGAATGGGACAGCAAAATTCTCAGATAATAATTGAAGTAAACGTCATACACACAATAATACCTTCCGGTGACGAGTAATTTATGCATAATAAGATGAACCAAAAATGAGGACTAACGAGTTCCGATTTCCGAACCAATGGCCAATGTTGCTGACGTACAACTATTTACCTCTGGCTCTAAGAACGGTGTTGGCATTTTATTGTAAAACTTTCCTATGTCTCAACTGTTATCATATAAACAACAAAGATTGTCTGTACAAAAGGGATTTGTACTCCAAAAAATGTCAGATAGAGAGGAAGAAATGAAAGAATTGATCTATAGTTTTGGAAGAAGAGAACTGATTTGTAACATAAGTCAGATCTACAAGAATATGCACATCAATCAGCAACGCATCTTCAAAAGAGTAGGGAAAAGAACTCAACAAAAGATCACCATAGACCACATCGACTAGCCTCCTGTGATTGCCATTGTTTGTGAAGAACCTGAAACATCATAATAACTTGCGTCATCTTTGGCAATTGAAGGAATGATCCACTGTTCTTCTCCAATTCAAGACACAGAAAAACCATGTGAAAACCACGGTGTTCTTCCCTCTACAGACGGAACCACTGTTCTTCTCTTCCCACCTGATCAAAAGATACTAACTTGATTTAAAAACACATGTTCACCTATTAAACACATATCTAATCAACATCAAACCCTACTTAACGTTCATGCTACAATAAAACACCACTGACTTGTCACTCTAATGAACTGGTAAAGGGAGATGGGTTCTCCCAAGGGCAAGACTCAAAGGGAGTAATACTCTACCAAACAGGAAATGAATAAAAAAGCCAGATCCTACATGAACATAGGCATATCACCAAAAAAATTCATTACTTCTTAGCACCAAAACTTACTACAGTTTGCTCTGTTGGCCAGCCTATAACCTCCATCTCATCCTTGTAAACAATCTACTGCCGCAATAAGGCATCCCAACCATGTTTATGACCAAGAACTCTAAACCATGAGAACATCAGACAGCCTCCCGGGATCATTTATAAAAAGTGAATCAATGACTACGCTCTAAAGTTACATTTTGACTATGGGATTATATCCTCATAGTTACATTTTGACTATGGATCATTTATAAAAAGGGATTATTTTCCTCCCTTCCCCCACGAACCCAATGTGTGTCTCGATCAAAAGTCAAGAAAAATGGTATGAAGAAAACAGTTATAATAGCGAAGTTTTGACACTGTCTCGTAAACAGTTAAGCATTGAACAAATGAAACCACTGGTAATTCAGTCTGCCCAAACGTGCAGCTCATTTATCTATTGTCAGCAACACACACACATACCAATTACCAAATTATGAGTAAAGACATAGCACCTACCAATCAGCCTCTACCTCACGTTAAGAGTTAGCGAGTACTACTACCTTAAGATTGCCAAGATGAAGATCGCCGCAACAAACAAATTAGAAGCTATCTCCTACTCCTTAGCACTTTTATATCCTGTAGAAAGGGAGAGAGGGGGGGGGGGGGTGCTTAACTTGATATCCTGTAGAGATGGGGGGAAATGACGCAGGAATTCTTAACAAAGGGAAAATGCAACAGAAATTCGATCGCACCTATGATATCCCATGGCATCAGTCCACCAAGAACAAACTTTGAAGAAAGAAGTTGAAAAATTGCAGTCAGACACCACGTATCAGCATTATTAAAAGGAGCATAAAGTTCATCTCTTACAAGAATGCAAGACTTACCAGAATTTTGAAGTCATTCCTAATTCAATGAACCACGGCATCTGAGAGAAGTTCAGTATAACATTGTACACCATAAGAAGAGACATAAGAATTGCGCACAAAAAAAGGAGCAGGGGGATTTAGGAGCGTGATACTAAGGCATAGGGAAGTTCAAACAAACAACTTACTTTCGAGAGCCACAGTTGCACGGGATCTTTTTTTCCTCTAAAGGGAACTTATAATTGTAAGTAATTTCTTCACCAGCATCTATATGCCGCTTGCATATATGAAAATTTTATTCTGGCCTTCAACACTTATAACCTTGGTGTAACAGTTGGGCTGCATATAATAACAAGTGAAACACTACGTTGTCAAGAATCAAGTAGCTTTTACTAGGACAACAATTTGAGAGGTGATCTCAAGTGGGCTACCTCACAAGAATGATTTATTAAATCTCGCCATCCCACCACACTTTGTAGCTCTACCTGCAGAGCAAACAAAGATGTATTTAACTCGTTGCCATAGCATGTATAACACGTGAGTGACTTTGAAGGGTCAACTCTTGCAAGAGTGACGACAACAAGGAAAATAAGAAGTTTAGTTGCCACATGCAGATAAAGAAAAATGAAATTGACTAAGCGCGAAAGGATCATAACTTTAACTTGAGTGAAAATAAAGGAGACTCTGATGATACAGACTTCTTCAAGAGAATCAACCTCCTATAGAAAAGCTTACAGCTGTGGACAGGACTAAAAGTGCTTGGAGAAATCTTACAAATTTCAAATAGACTAATCAAATCCGACCAAAACTACATAAAACCTAGAATGACAGGAACTACCAAGAGCATGCAAGATGAAGTTGAAACAGCAGCGTATCCTCATGGAACTAGACCAAAGCTTTTGAAACAATCACTTGAACTCAGCATTTCAGTTTGGACCTCACATGTTTTTCTAGAAATCAGATTTCTTCTACATTAAGAAACTAGACCATGCAAACCCATAGCCAATCAGTAACCCAAGTTCCCAGCCCATGCATCAAAAGTTTACAGCAAAGATGGCAGCATCATGTATTCATTCTATTATTATATAGGTGTTCATGTATGCCAAACGGAAAACAATATTTCCAACGTCCTCGCAAGGGAGAGGACATGTAAATAGTCCCTAGGCACATATGTATTCACTACAGGAGGTAAATTGTCCACAAAGGAATAAGAAAGGAGACAACACACGACAATATACGAAGAAAAAAAACTAATCCAAGAAAGCTAGGTCCACTGACCACATGATCATCGTCCAGTCTAAATAGGTAGCTGCTCCCAATTCCCATTTTCTCGTACAGTCCTTCACGTATATCAGATATCTGTTTTAAGGGATGCAAAATTGAGGCAAATCAGCATAAAAGAATTTAAGAACAAAATTTACCCGACCAAATTAAGAGAACTTCAAACTTACTCGTGAACGAATTAGTTCGCCAACATATTCAATGACAAAGTCCTCTGCGTCAATTGGTTCCAGTGCAACCAGACCCCAATCATGTATTTTGCTTCGTTGAAAACGCAGCCGCTTTTTTCTTGCCTATAAAGAATATGACATCATTGAGTACCAAAGACAGACAAGATTAATAGCATGCACCACAAATTTCATCACCTTCAACTGTGTGGCTTTCAAAAGCTCAGCACCTTCAGCAGCAGCCAGAAGATTCCGGACCTTTGCCCTATTCGTTCTTGCTGAAAGACCTCTACCATTAGCGAATTGTGATGCACAAGTTTCAGAACTTGAACATTTAGACCGAACAAACTGTCCCCTGACAAAAGCTCTTTCTGAAGGACTTGCGTTAAGAGACCATAAGTGCCATTCCCAACCATTAATTGACGACCTTGCACATCCATCTGAAGGAGGACAGGTGATAGACAATTGGAAACTGCGGGACTTTTTGTTTTCCAATCCAACATGTGGAAGAGCTTGCTTGTCACTGACATTCTCTGTTTTCACGATCTTGGTGCATTGTACTGGCAATCCAGTACCAATGGGTAAATGCTTCCTTTTCAGCTTGGATGGTTTTGTATCTCCAGAAAGAACAAGACAATCCATAATCAGGAAGGGGTAGCAAAAAAATAATCAGGGATGGAAATTCTTAAAGGGAAGGTGTCTCCTCTAACATTTCTTACCATGGGATTGCTTACAGTATAGTTTTTTCTTGGAAATATTAAGGGTAGGAGAGTTCTTAACTCCAGCAGTGGAGCTACTGTCATTGGTCTCATTCTCAACATCATGAGAATCCACAACACTCCTGGAGGTCTTGTGAGCATTATCTGTGAACTCATCACCTGTTTATATAGAGTCACAAGCTGTTCCATGCACAAGTATGTTGTGATAGAGGAACATCTTTTAGGAAGTGGAATACCTTGAACTGCCTGTGTGGTTTTCTTCACTCTGCGACAACTAGTCTTCCTGGCCGATGAACGTTCGAGTCGTCTGCTTCCTTCTGCAATGCCTTTCAAAGGCCTAGAACTAAGAGACAGTTTCTTCTGGCTCTCATATATGTCAGTCTTGGTGTGTTTCGAAACAGAGCGTTCAGCTTCTGCAGCCTTTGCAGCAATCTTGAGCGAGATGTGCTCTCTAGATGATTCTAACAGCTGGCCCCGCGATTCGGCTGGAGACACCAATTCCAAAGACGATGCTAGCTTTGTACGAGACGTCTTTTTCTTTCGATAGTATGTGTACTTACCAGTAGGGGAACAACCGCCCACAGACTTTGACATACATAATTTCAGCGATTCCCCACTTTGATTGTCTACCCCTCCCTAAGATAGAAAAAGGGCAAGGAAAAGGGAAGTATTTCACCAAAGCAAGGACAAAAATCAGGAAACCAGAAAATTGTGTTAACATGCCTGCCTTATAGTACTTTTCTAAGCGCGACTGTTTGAATTGCATGCAAAGCACATTAAAGCAGATATGCCAGAATATTCAAAGACAATAATTCAGGTACCTTATCACCATCAAACCCACACCCTTCCGCAAAAGCCAAAAATGATGGAAAGTGCTGCTGGAGAAGATCATCAAAAAAACAATTTTTCCATTCGCCAACTGCATTATCATGCAACTTTTGCCTGCATAATGCCAAGGCAATGTATTGCTTAATCCTAGAATGAGGCTCATTGGATGTTGACACATGGAATTTACATAAGGGTGGTAGGAGAGTGGTAACACCATCTTCAGATCCAGGTGGTGTAGATGAAGAAGCAACATTTAGGCCACATATATGCGCCTTCCCAAAAGTACTTGCAAGAAAACTAGATGTAGTATTCTTTAAAGCAAGCTGGTTAGCAACAGCTAGGGATGCACATTTAGGATTGCTGAGAGGAATTCCAGTGGAGCCACTCTGTTCTTCATGTAGTACTGGATTGGTGAACTCATCAGCGCCATGAATCTGAAAAGGATTCTACATCGGTCACTTGCTAAAACAAAGTACAACCAAAACAATGGGAAAAAAATTAATGAGGGAAGCATAGAGCCAAAAACTTCTTACAGCAATGTCAGCAATTTTGCCATCCTCTCTAATGTTAGCTACTCTAATGACTTCCTCCTTAACAAGAGTTCCAACAAACGCAACCAAACAAGCATTAGTAGACTTATGAAGTTCATTTTCCACACTCTCCGAGAAACATTTTATGTCATCGTTGTTGCAATCCATGCACGATGGGATAGTCTCTTCTGATGGCTTAAGGATCAGCTCTTTTGTATCAGGTATTCCAGTTTGATTTTCTGTTCTGGTTCTAACAAACTCAAAACCAGGGGGGCAGTCACCATCGCAACCAGATATCTCCTCTGTGGGTAGAAACTGTAAAACCATCAAATCATAGCTTTAGTGATTCAACAAAAGCACAAACATGTTGAGAATGAAAACATGAATAAGCTAAGGACATACAAAATCTGTGACTGATGCTTGAAACTTTTTGCCATAGATATCAAGGTCCGAAGGAAATCCATTCTGAGAATGACCAGACCAGATTTTTCTTTTTCTCCACGAAGCTGAATACTCTACTACTGTATCATAACAAACAGCATTCCAAAGAACTTCCATGCAACAGTTGAAAAGAGCTCTACAAAGAACAGCGTGAGAGACCTGGAAGTTATCAATACTGCCAACAGATTTTGTGTTTTTGGGCAACTGCATTGCAACAACAGATGTTTCCGAGGTCAAATACTTGCAAGCCACAGGATCATACTCAATAACAATATGAATTAGCTTCAGATCATTGAAACCAGACTGCTAAATAATAGCCAACATTATTACTTCCACTGTGACACAAAGGAACCACACCTAAAAAGGAAGAGTAGCAAGTGAAGACATTACCACTTCACCTTTGCTGGGGTGAGTTTCAGCAGTTTGAATATCCAGCTTTGGAAGTCCACGAGTCTTTTTCACATCAAGAAACTCCGTAATACTGTTACTGATAATTTCATGTAGGACGACTCTTCGAGCTGCTTTCACTATTGCTGAGTGCAGCTGAGAGGAAATTTCCTGAGATATTTCTCGTGTTAAGTTCTCTGGAGAACAACTTTCCAACATAACATTAGGTGCAGATCTTGATTCAACCCTAGCTGTTCTCCATGCGTCCAGAACAGACAGCAGAGGAAAGGGCCCAGCATCTTTCTGTGTGTGATGTATCTGTCGATACATAACAGGAAAAATACAGAAAAAGTAGAATAGAGTTTAGAAATGTTATAGTTGATTTGACTATTAAAGTAAATTTTCCAAGTAACATAACTGAAAAAATAGCAGAAGATCCATGTTGTAAGAGATCTGTTTCATACAGGTCAACAGCCAGACCTAAGACTATCAATTCCCTTTTCTGAGATAAGCAACACAATGACTAATTCCAAAAGAACACTTCAGGCAACAAGTAGACAAAAACACAAAGGCAAAAAAAAAGACAAGCCGTATTGCGAGAAATTTTTCGAAGGATTAGACCCAAGCCTAGGAAAGAAAGCAACCGAAAGATATGCAGGTTGTAAAAGATCTGTGAGATAGAAACCAACAGTTGGACCTTAAAGTATTAGTTCCCTTTTTCTGAGATAACGAACCCAATGATTAAATCCAAAAGAACACTTCAGGCAACATGTAGACGAAAAACAAAAAGGCATAAAAATCGACAAGTAGTACGAAGAGAAAAAATTTTAAGGATTAGAAGGAAAGCAAACATAAAGAGACTATCATGTTGAAGGGCAGTGCATCACTTTAGAAGCAAGTCCAAGAGTCAGACATCTAAGAACACAAATCTCCCACTTGAAGGACAAACACAGACAAAAGTTTGAACATCTCTAATGAAGACAGATACATGTTTCTAAATAACAGGTATTATGTATCAAGATCATTGGGATACGGGTCTGAGAAAATAAGCCTTAAGGCATGGAGGTGATAGCTCAAGATAGTGAAAACCAGGTTAAAATCTTTCTTTTACATGTCGTAAGGCCATAAAAAACAGAAACTGCAAAGAGCCAAAGCAGCAACTGCTTATGGCTACATGATGTAAGGCTGCCCATCCTTATTACATCTACATAGGACTCGTAGAGAGTAGATATATGGATGCTGATCCACTGTCTAGCCAGTTCAGTAACTTTGGTTCACAATACTAAAATGGGTAGTTGATCAAAATGATCACATATGTTTGAGCCAATAACAAAATGGTAACGTACATATCATGATATAACAAATATCCACTCCGTGTCTTTCCATCCATATTTCCATCCAAAATGCCCAGTTAACTGCTCTAGTTCAGAGATAAGTTTTAGGATTCTTTAGGTGTATGATATTTTTATTAATTTTTGTTGCGAGTTGGCAAGCTAACTGAGCATTTTCGATGACAATATGGATGGAAAAAGACAAAATGATTTGCTATATCCTGATGCATATATGACCTTTTTATAACTTTTTTTACGTTGCAACGATTTGTTACAGGCCCAAACCTCTATGACCATTTTGATCGATTACTCAAACTAAAATACAAACATGACAGGAATGCAAGGCATACAATTCTCTCTTAATAAAACACATGTCCTGCTTACCATCGACGTATCCCGAAGATATCCATAGCAATGCCAGGAATAAAGCTCCAGTAGGTTATAAGGACCATGTTTCTTTCCCTCATCGTCCTCAAACAACCAACAAGAATCGTCTTCTGACTGAAAGAAGTGAATGACAAAAACATCACACATGCAGGAAAAAAATACTGGAGTAGGGACAAGACATAACAGGAGGGAGGCTTTTCGAGGGAAAGGAGGATAGAAATAAGTCAACAACTACCAATTCAGAATATGGGAATACTGGAACAGACTCTCCTTTTCCATGCTTTTTTTGTGAGTTAGAAGCCAAGGAAGAACTCCAACCATGGCCTTCTGGTCCATGAGTTGCTGAGGCAGAATCAGGCATAGGCAAAAGTGCATTGGAGATGCCAGAGCCAAGGTACATGAAACCCGATTGGACATGGTCTGGGAACTGTTGAAAGTACCTCAGGGGAACAGGATTCGTTATTCTTTGGTTTAGTACAGGAAACACTTGAAGGTCCCCAGGAAGAAAACCAGATGACAGACCCTCGTGCAACTGTGCATCAATATAAGGACCACACATTTGGTTAAGCTCATTAACATACATCCAGCCAGTCACAAATGCAGGCAGTGGGTAAACCGATTTACTGGCACCAGCATCATTAGAAGTAACTGGAACATCACTGCCTTCTCCATTCAACTCGCAATCCATCTCTAAGGCAGGATTTGTGTCTTCCAGCATATTATAGCAAGATGAAGACGCATAAACACAATGATGGCACCTGCCATTGTAGATTGAAATGGACACCATTTAAAGTCTATCAAAAATACCATTACAAGAACAACAGGGGGGAGAAAGGAGATCAAAGATGCATTACCCATGAAGCAAGCATTCTTTCGAGTCCGAATGCATTACCGTGGAAACATCATCAAAGTCTCCAATACAGGTCTGAGAACCTGTCTCATGATGTTCGAAACTTGAAACTTTTAGCCTTTTCCTAGAGGAAAAGCTGTAATGTCTATGGGGAAAGGATTTTGAAGAAACCATGCCCAAGAAGTCTTTACAACATGACCTGTATTTAGGGAACAAAAAATAGTCACATAATCGTGCTTGGCATGTATGGGCCATGAAAGAGCAAGGGAACATGGATGACATGAGGATTCCCGGAGCATATCAAAACAAATATACATGGACGAGTAGTGATGCCTCTGAGCCTTTTTTTTTTTTTTTACACCCGAAAAAATGGCAAGCTCTACCCACCTATAGCTTCCTTTGGCAAATTAATTATCCAACAAACCCAGCCAAATTTCTGGATTCTCTCTTCCAAAAGAGTAATCAAATTACATCATGGCAAATCCGAAACAACTGCCACAGTAATATGGTGAGCTATTTCTAAACCTTTAAGAAGCTGCAACGAAATCAGTTTTGCCAGATATAGCGATTAGGACCTTCATGCAACCTAAGTTAAACCCTAGACCTACAGGGCGAAACCTACCGTCAAAAAGTCTTCTGAAATATGCCTGACAAGAGACCGAATCAGCGAGATGAGGCTCACTGGACAACATCAAAAGAGTAATATACCACAAGGAGTTGGAATAATTAAGTTTATTGTGATCTATCGGCGAAACGAACGCAAATTCCAAGCAGACATCAAGGCGAGAACGAAGGAGTCCAGGTCCCAATGGCACTCAATAGTCGATCTTTTCAGAAGAGAGCTGGATCATAGAAAAATACATTTAATTCTATCGGGACAGAAGCTTTGCGTACCTGCCGACGGCGGCTGAGCGTAGGCGGAACTACCGGACACAACAAACTTTTGCCGCCGGTCTTATCTCGTCGGTTCATCAAAATAGAGATTAATTGCTGTGAAGGGTATCGATTGCGCTAGTCATCCCTTCTTTTACCCCGCCCTTCGACTTCGACCACCCACAGACCAGAGCTAGACGCAGGAGATCGAGATATCCCAGCTTATGTCGGAATCCGATCGGTAGTGTATATATAGAGGGTGAAATCACACAATGATCACTTATGTATGAGATAATTGTCAAACCGATCACATAACTATTTTCACTAACTATATGGTCACTAAAGTAAAACATCACTTGAAATGAAAGTATGCTTTGCAAGTTTCCATACTATACTGCATGCAGTAACATGCGAAGTTGAAGAAGTGACCATATAATTACTAATTAGATTATTTCTACTTCGTCTAAATAAACAGATTGAGAAACATAAGCTAAAATGGAGCAATAAATCCTTAAACTGATTTAAAGATATACTTAAAATAACTCATTCGACTATTGAATGAAAGTAAGTTAATCTCGTGTGGAGTAATCATCTAATCGATGAATAATTTTCATTCTTACAAAGAAATAGTTTAAGCAAAATAAATTTATTGCGACAAAGGCCAAATTGTTCTTTCAGGTACAAAGTAGGAAGATTTTATTATTGATGGTTGTCACACAATTTTTTTTATCTACAAAGGAATAGTTTAATAAAAATGAATTGAGTACCAATCAACAAAAATTAAACTGATTTCCTTGTTCCGTGTTGAGTGCAAAGTAGGAAGATTTGATTATTGATCGATCAAGACCGTTGTCACACTTTTTTTATCTACCTTGTCGACATTCCATTTTTTGCTTCTAGATGTTGTTGTCTGTCGCCTTTCTTTAATTTAATGTTGGTCACCCAATCTTTTTCGTTATTAAAGTGATTTTATTTTGCTAGAGAGAAATATCCTCTTTATTAGTTCTCTAACAAACTAGTGGTTCTCTTCTCTTGGTTGAGTGGTGATCGCCAACGAGGCTTCGCTACAGGTAGGCGCTCCTCGTCCCTGGTTTCTTTTCTTTTCTTTCTCTCAAATGAACTCAACAAGTTCTACTTCTTCTTCGGGTGCGCTACGATTTTGGGCGTCAATGTTCGAGATTCACTATGATAATAAGCTTGATTTCATGTGAATGGGGCGTTGTGGATTCCTAAGGCGATTATGGAAGAAAGAGCTCGACGATGGGGAAATGCTTTGGTTCGACAATTCTTGGGAGAGGCGTCGTCGATTGCTGCAATTAGATCTTGAGCGAACTGGATTTGGGGCTAGGATGGCGAAATAAGGGTTTCACAGTTAAGTAGTCTCTACTTGTGGTCATTTTCGTCGTTAAGGTCTATACTTGTGGTCATTTTAAGGTTTCTACTTGTGGTCATTTTAAGGGGGTCATTGGCATTGCCGCCTGTCGCAACTGCCCCTCAGGATCGCGGGATCCGTCGCGAATTGCTCGGAGTCGCCATCGACCTTAGTTGTAGTGGGTCGAACACTAATTGGTCTGGTTTCCACCTTAGAGCCGAAACGAAATTTGGTTTGCGAATTTAGAGATTATGGGTATGGGAGTACGGTTACGTGTGGGAAAGTGTATCACACCCCACAACGCCCCAAATGGGTACTACTTAAATCGATGAGTTTTAAAGGGTTGGTGTATTACTATTTGGCTTAATTATAAGATTCTATTAATTAGGTATTTATTAATACATGATTTGATCATACGTCTATTGACAGAAATCACAAAAGTAAAGAAAGAGTTTTGGATTATTTGGACTCGAACCTATTGGTTGTCTACGTACCCGAATAGTCGGGATAAAAGTCCACGTAGTTCGATTAAGTTGATACATTTTGGAAAGGGGATCTTAACACGTAGCTATTGAAACATGATTAAGATAATAATTGATTTTATAATTTAATAGATGTAATTTGGTATTTATGATTTAAGAGGAGAAAATTTGATTAGTTGGACTCGAACGCATTGGTTGCCTACGTACCAGTAGTCAGGATCAAAGTCCACGTAGTTCGTTCTTAATAACAAATGATTTTAGTAAAAAGGAACTCAACATGTCCTATTGATACGTGATAAGGTTTGATATTAAAAAGAGTGAAACGAATTGTATATCCTTTGGAAACCAATTTGAGACTTAATACGAGAATGTTATCATAATCTATTGACCATCGACATTTCGCATTAAGGATTTTTGTATGTTAAGTATTCAGATTAATTAAAGTTTTCATCGATTGAAGTTAATACCCGAACAACTAGCAGGCGCGCGCCCAGCCTAATGGTTTAAATTGTTGATTGTAAAATTAACACGACTTTCAGGTCGTTGGTTTGAATTGTCGAAGGGTTTTATTTGTGGTCGTTTAGAGTTGAAGAGGGCAGTGGCAATTGGCGTAGTTTTTGTAAAAATCGGAGGGGTAGTTTAGTCCTTTCGGCCCCGGGAGTATATAACTCCCTCTAAGCCAAAAACTGAAACCCTAGATCATTTTTCTAACCTAAGCGCCGCTCACCCCCCTCTCTTCCTCTCCTCTCTTCTTTCCAGCAGAAAATGGTCGAAGAAAAGAAAAGGTTTGACGCCAGCAACGACGGTCAGAGCACAATAGCCAGATAGTGGTCATGATTCTCCTCCTATCTCCTTCCCTCTCCCCTCGTTTTTTTTCCTTTTTCCATCCTTTGACCCCTTCCGATCTGCTCCCTCTCTCTCTCTTCTTCGTGGTAACGACAACAAGCAGAGAAAGAACAACAACGGTGATGGCAAGAACGGTGGTCTCTGACGCTGTTGACGATGATGATAGTGTTGACGAAGCTAAGATCTAGTCGATTTTGGGTTCACATGTTGATTTTTAGTATTTTTTTTATGTTTGATCGAGTATTTCACTTGGTGTTTTGATTTAGATTTTTGGGGTTCGATCGGTTGTTAAGGGTTTTGATCGCATTTGATGTGTTCCCTTTTCTGAGTCTAACCGAGCAGAGAAGAAAGAACGAGAGGAGGCCGCCGACTGGCTAGGACCTCTGGCGACGAGGGAAAACCCAGAATGATGGATGAGGTTCTTCGAGGTAGGTTTTTTATGGTTTATTTATGTTTTACTGATGTTGACAGATTTTCACTTTGTTCTCATTCTTATGTTTTGACCATAAGGAGGAAATGAGGAAACAGAGGCAGTCGGGGAAAGCCTCACAGGCAAACGGCGGTGGGAGAAACACGTTGAGTTTAAGGCTTAGGGTTCCAATCCCATTGGAGACTCGTTTTTGGTCATTGTTGACTTCTGAATTTTTGGGGAATCTGGGAAATTTGCGGTGACCGTCTTGAATTATTTTGGTTCTGGTTTGGATTGTATGCAAATTGGAACTTTTTGTGGTCTGTGTGGTGGATTCGATTTGGGTAGTTTGTGGGGTTGTCGTGTTGGATCTGGAAATTTGACAGGTATGTAGGGTTGTTTTTTTGGGTTTTGGAGGGTAGTGGGTCAAAACTTAGATTTAGTTCTAGGTTTGGTTTTTCGATTGGTTTTGTTATTTTGAGAAACTTTATGCTTATATTTGGTTGTTTAACTTGGGGGATGGACTTGGAATTTCAAAAACCGCAAGGTTTTGGTTAAAACTACTAAACTGAAGGTAGAGAAATCAACTTGTTAAATTACTAAAAACACTGTTATTGCTTGTGATGAAGTCTTATTGTCTTTCAGGTTAGCAATCTGTGATGGGTGTTCAAATGTCATTGGGGAGTGATTTGTAAATCTAGTTGTGCGACAGAAGTTTTTGAAGATATCTCTCAGTTTGATGTGATTTTCAAAAATATGTTTTAGTTGCATATGATGTCGTCCTGGTATGCAATCGAATAGAGTAAATTAAAGCGATTAAAACCGAAGAAAGAAAACAAATTTGGTTTGTTTTACGAATTGCCTAAACATAGAAGTGCTTTAAATGATAAAAACTAAAAAGCAACTCAAATAGATGTGAACAGAAATGTAGAGAACTTGTAAATAAAAGTAAAGCAACATAAGCGGTCTTGTAAATAAAGCATTAGAAATCATTTGCTAATTTATTTTGTGATAATGGTGAAATTAGTCGTATTGCAATTTGATTGGAGTTGCTTGGGGTTGTTAATTTACTCATTTTGTTTAACAAAATCTGTCAACTTGTAGTTTAAGTGATGTTGATTAGTTTTTGTTGAAGATGAGATTCATCATGGCTATGAGATGGATGAAAGATGGTGGGTTTTACCTTTTCATGGATGATTGATGAAGGGGAGGAGTTGCTATTCCCTTTCCCTTTCTCTTCTGTGGTCTTTTGCTTGTTGCTTGGTCATGATTCTGATCTTTTATGTTCTTCGTTTGTCTTTTCTTTCTTATTTTTGCTTATGTTGGCGCCAGTGGTAGAATGTTTGTTAGTGATAACACTTAAATTAGTGTTATCATATCAAGGTTTGTTTTATGCCAATTCATGTTCATAATTGCTTGAACATCGTCGATTACATCCCTATTTCGTTCCTATGTGAATTTGATATGATTTTAGGGTGTATTAGACGATATATGCGAATTAGGTACAAAAAAAGGTCACAAGTGTAGCAAGGGGTAAGAAGTTGAAGATAGTGGTCGGAAAGATAGCCCGGGAACGCAAGCTGAAGACGCGCGGCCTGGAAGCCCAAGATTGCGGTCGCGAATTGGAGGGCTCAGGGCGCGAACTTCACGAGGAAGGAGCCAAGGAGAAAAATAGAGTTTTCCCAGTCAAATCACAACCATAGTGTTATCAGACCGCGAGGAAGATCGCGCCCGCTAAGTTAGCCCGCGATATCCGCATTTCCGAAGGCCATGACGACACCATTCCAAGATCACGGTCTCACTTCCGCAGATCACGACTGCAATCTCTGTGCTTCTGGTCTCGACCTTCTCCGTCCCCAGATTGTCTATAAATAGAAGACCCATTTCCCCTTTTTTTAGATGAGCTAATTTTGAGAGAAATTTCTTGTTTTAGAGAGAGAGAGAAGAGAGAGAAGCTGAAGGAAGAAGAGGGAGCTAGAAGAGAGGGAGCATCTTCCTCACCCAAGTCTTCTTCAATCTCTTCTATGTTTCTTCTTCTCTCTTTTATGGAGTAGTCTGTGGTCCTCTAAGGCACTAGCGGTTCTAAACCCAAACCCTAGATTTAG